CGCGTGGTTATGTGTAGTGACGGAGACGGCGTTCTCGCTCACGGACCCGCGCTACAACGAGCTCCACACGTTCGTGGCGGCCACCAAGGAGTACAAGGAGCAGTTCCTCAACGAAATGAAGCAACAGATGTCCAACTGGCACGTCGCCCAGTCCAGGGTACGCCTTCCTCCCTTTTCTCTCTTTTGCTGCGCGCTTGCGCCAACCTCGAAACTTACGCGCGTGTCGTGCGTCGTGTGTCGTGCGTCGTGTGCAGGAAAGGGAAAAGGGAGGCGGAGCGACGTCGATGGATCAGTTCCGTGGGGTGACCTTTCAAATTTTGTTCACCGTGCCCGTCGCCTCCACCAAGGAGAAGGAATTCACCGTACCGTCCCCCATTTCATATTTTTACTCCATTATTATTATTATTAGCAAAAATAACAACATCATTTCGGAAATGAGAAAATAATAATTGCTAATTTGTTTCTCACTTTTTTGTGTAATTTTTTATAGGCGTATGTGGTGGACATGAAGACGCAGAAGGGCACGATCACCATCATGAAGCGCTACCGCCAGTTCCTCGATCTCCACCACCGGGTACGACCAACGTAGCCCAGTGCGCGCGTGTGCGGCGTCGCCGACTGCTGACACTTTACCTTTGTGTGTGTGTGTGTGTGTGTGTGTGTGTGTGTGTGTGTGTGTGTGTGCGTGCGTGCGCGCACACGCAGTTGCAAAACCACTACAAGGCTTCAGTGATACCCAAGTTCCCCAAGAAGCGCTACCTCGGCAACAACACCTCACACAAGTTCATCCAGAAGCGCGTACGACACACATCATCATCATCATGGTCGTCACCGTCGCCATCGTAATCTTCGCTCATCGTCATTCCCCCCCCCCATCCACCTACAAATGCAGTGTCAGAAGATCGGCCAGTACCTCAACGAGATGATGCAGCTGCCGGGCATTCTCGACATCGAAGAGGTTCGTGTCGACGTGCGTCTTCAAATTTGTGTCGTGTGTGCGGTGTGTGTGTGTCGTGCGCGTGCGATCTGACACGCGCATGTTTGTGTTGCAGGTGAAGACGTTCCTGACGACGTCGCTGAGTGCCAAGGGCGAGGAGGAGCTGGTGGGCAAGCAGGACGAGAGCGACCAGGAGAAGGCCCAGTTCATCGAGAGCATCGCCCCCAAGGAGAAGAAGGAGGAGTCCGCCGGCGTCGCGGGCCTCGGCCAGGTCACGCGCGCGCAGACGAGCCTCAGCATTATTCTCAAGGCCTCGCCCATCAGCGGCCCCGGCGGCCTGTCGCCCCGCGGCGGCGGCGTCGAGGCCAAGTCGCCCCGTGCCGGCGCCACCGCAAAGTCGCCCCGAGGCGCCACAGGTGGGGTCAGCCCGCGACCAGGCCTGACAAAGAGCGAAAGCGAAGCGACAACGCCAGCGGCGGCGGCAAATAGCGAAAGAGAAAGCGAAAGCGGCAGCGAATCGACGGCGACGGCCACGACGCCGATGACCACGACCGAGGTGGCGGTGGTGGCGGAGCAGCTGGCCAAGGCGATGGCCCTGTACGAGTTTGTGCCGCAGAGCCCGAAGGAGCTGGCGCTCAAGGCTGATGACGTGATCGTCGTGCACGATCGCGAGGGCGACGCGTGGTGGTTCGGCACGGTCGACGGCACCACCTTTGGCTACTTCCCCAACAACTACGTACGCCTCCTGCCCGAAGCCGAGTGGTGAGCCACCAACGCACACACAACCCACACCACATTATTATGAAATAAATGAAACAAACACAGTCTTTAAAATCGTCTGTCAAACATTATTTGAGCGAAATTTCGCTAAGGTCCTAAATAGGTTTTGCTTTTTTTGGTATCGCCACCGCTGTTTCTTGCCCGCCAAACTCGAAAAGAAGGATTGAGCGTCGAAGAGGAAGAGAAGATGGAGAAGTTGACCACCGGGTCCATCCGGCCATTGTGCTTCGTCTTCCTCGTTCTCGCCATGTTTGTGGCCTGGGCGACAGATGCTACCGCCACCCCCTCCGCCACCCCGTCCACCAGCCCCAACCCGTGCGTGGGCCTCCTGGCCCAGCCCTTGGCCCGGGCCGAGCTCGACGCCATCTACGGCGTGCGCAGCACCCTCTTTGACACGGGCCGCCGCCCGCCGACCATTGGCGACCTCGCCCGGGGCAACCGCGCCGCCCTGTGCGAGCTCTACGTCAACGAGGCCTCGCTCGACACCAACTACCAGACCCGCAGGACTGCAGCCGCCGACCCGACACTGATCCGGGCGCGCTACCCAGTGTCCAACAACCTGGCCTGCCCATTCATGAAGACCTACGCCGAGCTCAACTACACGACCGGCACCGTGGGCGAGGCGGTGACCTACTGGCGTGAGAACTACGCCGACCTGCTCGACGAGGCGTCGGCCTTCGGTGTGGCGGCGTGGGCGCGGCCGAGCGACGGGCCGGAGGAGGTGGGGCTGCTGGTCACCGTCGTGCGTATCGTCAACAGACGGACCCACTGCCCGCCCGACGTACTTCCGGAGTGGTATGTCAAGAGGCACACCGATGGGAATGACGACGAGGACGAAGTCGAAGAGAACGCAGAAGAGACAGCCAGCGAGTAAAAATGTCAATAGACACGATATGCTCGTGGGAGGGGATCAAGGGCTCCATCGGTGTACACATCACGCTGAGCAACAGCTAGCTGGTGCGGCTTTGGCTTAGGGGCGAGCCAGCGCTAATTTGTTGGCCATCATGGACCTAATGAAGGGAATTGGGTTGGTGGAGAGAGTGAAATCCTTCCCAAGCCAGTTTGGGAAGGAAAGATGCAAACAAGCGCAAGCCAATATCAATAAGGAGCCAACTCCCCTTACCAAGCAACACAAGAGGAGGAAGAGACACATCAAACTGGAAATACCTCAACCAGTGATTGATGATGAAACTCACTGAGGGGATTCAACACAAGATGTGCAGTGGATTTTGTCTGATGAAGTCCAGCACAGCAATCTACCACCACCACTACTACTAGAGCCAGCCAGCCATCCAGCCAAGCCACTCCACATGGGGATGGTGGATGACATTTACAGTGGTGGCTGGTGAGTGGGTGGTCAAAGCTCACTGCTCATCATGGAGCAGCCCCAGTACAACATGCTCCACCACACCCATGTCAAGAAGTACGCCCTGCGCCCTGCGCCCTGCCTGCAACACAAACATGACACACACACACACACACACCATGACAAACACCACATGCTCATGCAACATGATACAACACATGTACAGGGAGCTGTACTTGGAGATTGGGCTGGGCATGATGATCTGGTTGCTGCTGGCATTGGGCCTGATGGGCAAGTACGCCAAAGGATGCATTCCTGGAGGGCTTGTGCCTGGCTGACAGCAGCTTTGAGGGCAAGCCCAAGTTCCTCCATGACAGCCTCCTCTCTGGCAAGGGCCTCAATGGCCTGGAGACCACCAGGACATGCCCCTGCCCCTTCCTGCAGTGTCATCTCACTTTATGGTGCCTTCATCACCACTTGGGTGTATGTGTGCAGCCAACAAGCAGGTCCACAACATCCAGGACCCCAGGTGGTGGTGAGGGCTATCTTTTTCCCACATGTTCACTTCACCACCATGGCCACCAGCTTCAGCCAGCTCACCAGATGAAGGTGTGGGCAGGTGTTGTGTGATTGGGAGCAGGTGATGGCCCTGTGTGGGCCAAGTTCACACAACCTAATGTGGCTTTGGTTGGGCGTGGAGATAAAAATAATAATAAGTTGAATATTATGTTATTTTTTTCTGCTGAGTTTTACAGCTGTTGCATTTTTTCTTTTCCACAAATTCATTCACAGTTTGCCTGTGAAAAAAGGGAAACGATTTTTTGAAGCTAAAATAGGGCTGTGCCCGCTCAGTGCTGAACCCAGCACTGTACCAAAGCAGTACCAGCTCAATGGCACTACTACTCCACCCCCACTTCCCTCTCATCTTCCTATTACTCTTAACCTCCACTCTCGCCCAAGGGCAGACGTCCCCTCCTGTATCGCCCAGCAGCTCACCGACACCCACCAAATCGCCCAGCAGCTCGCCTTCCGCTAGCCCTTCGTACTCGCCGCTGGCCTGCGGGGTGCGGGAGTTGGCCAACACGATGAATCTGGAGCAGTGGGGCTGGCTCGCGTACTACCCGCAGCTGCACCGCCTCCACACCAACGGGGCCAACTGCCTTCTCACCTCCTTCACCGTCAAGCTCCGATATCCTAGTAGTACGAACCCCCCCCCTCCCTCTCATCATCCTCTTTTTTTTTATTCGGAATTGTGCCTCATCATCATCGTCGTCATCTTCTTTTTCATCGGACAGCCTT